GTTTATAAATAGAACAGATTAGATGCTGTCACAATTGGGAAATTGGGCAGGACTAGTTAGTTTGAATTGAGATATGATTGTTCTTCATGATCTTGTTGAATTTGTAATTGGCCTAAGGGATTGGGGATTCAAATTCAAGGGATACGTTTGCCTACTAAGGGATTAGGGGTAAACAAGCTCTAAATAAACTCAAGTGGATAATTATAATTTACACATCGATTGAAAAGGGGAGGAAATTATATGAAAAGGTATGAAATCAATTCTCTAACATTGTTTATACTATTTGAATTTCCATCACTTGTTTATGTTCATCATTCTACTTGACAATCTTTGTTGCTCAAAATTAAGTAAATTAGTAAACTAGTACTCAACTCATTCAATCCTTGAGGACGATATTTTGTTACTACAATTACGATTGGTACACTTGCCAAATGTACATCATTAACCAAAATGAAGCATTGCTGATATAAAGGACATTTTAGAACTCCTTGTCTTTTCTTCTTAAAACGAAACCCAACTTCAACTTTTGCCTTCTCTGCATGAATCCATCTTTACTGTGCTTGCAATAGTAACCTTGAACTCAAACCATGGACACAATTAAATGTGAGGGATTTCCTGCTGAATTATACTTTGGTATGTGAGTTCTTCTCGATGGTTTTGATGAATAAAAGTTTAAAAGCACCCATTTTAGGATTCTCCATATAATTAACATTTGACCTATCATGTGTATTACTTGTAAACTTCTTTGTTTTTCTCTTTACATTCTTATTGCCGATTTTTTAATGATTTGGAATCAGTAGTTAGGTTGATGCTTTGAATATAGTCACTTTGTAAATATCCCATGATATAGTGTATAGTCGATTAAGGACTGTGTTTTTTCCAAAGAAGAGAATGATAAGGCCGAGAAACTTGTTCAAATGATTACTGGGAGCTATTCTAGTTTAACATAAAAAGATGGACTATGTATTGGGTTCATTGTCACTTTATTTTCATCGAAAGTCATGTATGTTATTAAGTTCATTCTCTAATTGTGATGATATTCATGGTCGTTTTTTTGTGATTCTACTTCATTTTTCTTTTTTCTAAATGTACCATTGTTCTGCTTCATCTGGTTTCAAGGTTTCTAGAAATTTTCAGTCGCTGCTCATTGTATTTAAATATCAACCACTGAATTGAACATGATACTTGAAATGCTTCATTTCTTAGTGTTTCAGATTTGTATAACTTTTTAATGAAGGGTCAATGAAGGATAATATTCGAAGGGGAAGATTAGCATTTGAAGGTATAATGACTGCTTGCCATTTTCAATATATTATGTAAGGGCTAGCTGTTACATATTGAATCTTGTTTACCAAATTTTATTTCTCTCTCTTGTAAGAGTTACTATTATTTTATTTCATTGATTCTAAATTCAAGATTCCATTTAAACATTCCAGCAAAGCACTGCTAAATCATTTGCTTGCATTTGGTCATTATTTAATTTTGAAAGGAAAAATTGTATATAATATTTGTCCTGTATAAATAGGACAGTTTTCAAGATGATTAAACGAAGTTGGTTATTTAGTTAGTAACATTAAATTTATTAACTCACTGCATTGTTTTTCCATAATTACAACTGTATTGAAATTATTGGGACCTAATTTTGTGAAGAGAAAATAGTAGTTTGTATAACTATCTTAATAATTTGTGGTAGTCACAAGAAAAAGAATTATGTTTTTAATTTATAACATCTATTTACCAAAATGTTGTCAAGTAATAAAGGGTATCCTGGTAAAAAAAATATTATCATAAGAGAAAATTTGAAAAAAGTCTAACAAAAAAGACAAACATATTTCTCGAAAAATTGCCATGTTCGGATGGAGGTAACAGTAGGTAGAACGGTGAATATTCTACAAATTCATTGGTTGATCTTATTGTGAGGTCATAGAATTACTTCTACATTTCTTCCAGTATCTCCATGCCACCTGAATTCGAGTTGCTGCCAATGATCGCCAGTAAGGTGATTCATACCTGGCATAACAAAACGATCAAATGATCATGACAGAGCCATGAATTTGAAGAAAAGAAAGTGGGTTCATTACTAGTGAAAATCTCAAACTTGTGAGAATCCCAAACCTAGGAAATAGATTACCTTAGAGATCCTTGAACCCGAAGATTCCGCAAGAATCTCATGAACCGGCTTGTGACTTCTTCAAGATCTTCAGCTCGGATTGAAAATGCCTCCACATTTGTTAGGCACTTTACTGTCCTGTTGCTAAGCCACCTCTGCCCTGGAAGCCTTACTTTTTTACCATCTGCTGGTGAAAAAATGTTGATTACTTGTATTGTTTCTCATTTAGTATTTTTGTTCATTTCCTAGTTAAGTGCGGTTAACAAGCATGTTGTCATCATACCAAGTATAGCTATACCTGTGCTTACAGAAGAAGAATGTTCAAGATACCATGTCAGAAGTTCTTCACCACAAGCATCTCCTTCAGACAAGGGAACTCCAACTCCGTCTTCTCCAATGCTCTCCAATTTTCCGCGCACAATAAAGATCATCTTCTCAATTAGACAACCTTGGGTCAAAATTAAACTTCCTTTTATGTATGTCTTCTGTCTCAGTCTCTCACAGACGGCATCCAAGATAGGTTCATCCATCAGAGTGAAAATTCGGACCTACCAACATTTTGGATCCTCAGGTATGCATACAGATTGATATTAAGTAAAAGAGTCAAATATCATTTGGATCTTGTGTATGGTGTTGGTTTGACCATAAAGATACGTGAAGCTTTTCCTTCAAAATGGATTTTAAATTTAAGTTCCATCCTTCATTTCTAGTTTCTTACGCATAGAGAGAAAAGACCCAACGACTATAGAACTTTAAATGAGACTTTGTGGCTTTGACTTTGAACTTCATCCAATATGTTAACCACAATTCTTCTCGTAGCAATCATGATTATGGTGTTACTATAATAAAATTATTGTGGCACAAGTATTGTACTACATACTTTCTTAACAAATTTGAAGAGATGACGTCTTATGTCTCTCTGGAGATCTTCGGGCAAATTCTCAAGAATCATTTCTTCATTCACCCCTTTTGTTGCAGCCCAATTATACCGTTCAGCGCTTCGTACTTTCCTGCACAAGAAACATAATATCTATCACTTATACATTAATTGTGGTCTTAAATTTCCGGTTATATTAAACAATTATTTTGGCTCATAAGAAATGGATGATTAAAAAATATAACTAACAGTAACTTTATGTTTTTTAATCATGAATTAGACTAGCACCATGATTTTCTGTTTTTTTAAAAGTAAATGCATTGCCAATATATATATATATATATATATATATATATATGTATATATGTATGTATGTATGTATATGTATGTATGTATATGTATGTATGTATATGTATGTATGTATATGTATGTATTTGCTTCATGATTTTGCATATACTTATTGGAGGAAACTGGGGAAGTTTTACATACATGGAGGAATTACCAAATCGTGTACAACTAGAATACAAAAGAAAGGGGTATGGGAAGCAAAGGTTGTAATATATAACGTATAGCAGATAGTGACTCAAGGTGACAACATTTGTTGGATGCATATGCTAATCATGCTATCTATTTAAAGGTAAACTTATGTGAGTGTGTGTATATATATTTACTTTCTCACAAGGTATTTCAATATAGTTTGTTAAATTGGAACATTTAGTACTTTCTTAGATCTTCTGGTAAACGACGATGCCTCATCCATTGCTCAACATCGCGGCCTCTGAGTTGCATTTCTAGCCTTCTGCAAGTGATAGGTAAGAAAATATATCAAATGCATTGTAATAAAACCACACTAAAAAAAGTAACACATAGCAGTAGATAAGTTATGTGTAAACCTTCTTCCAAGACCTTGAAGAAAGTTATGTATGTTTCCAATCAGAACTGCAAAAAGCAAGAGTCCCAATCCTATAATGGCCATTGTAAAAAGGACTTCTCCCCAAAACCTGCTTGGGGTTAAACTACCAGCGAGAGTACTAATTTGCTGCATTAAACATCATGCAGGTATTATACTACAATTGGCAAGACATCAAATTATTCATGAGCTGTCACTGCAGAGGTTAAGTTACCGTTTGTTTGGTTTGGACTTTATGATATCAGAGTATTTATGTTCTAGAGTTCATTGGTTGTCTTCCTCATTCTTCTTAAAAATTCTAGCACGACATAAAGTGAGTGTGTGTTTCATCTAAGCTTTAAATCCAAAGGAGTTACCAGCCAGGTGGGTTAGAAAGTGAGAGACCAACCATGAGAAAACAGGACAGGGTTCATGGAATTTGTAAATACTACATAGGCCTTGTTAATAAGTTAACAAAGAAAAAGGGATTGCAGATGGTAACATTGTGAGACACTTTTCAATCATGTCATAATTAAAAAATTATGTTTGGCTGAAACAATTCTTCGAGACAACTTGAACGGCTTGAACACCAATCCTTAAGCACTTAACAAACAATCTAGAGAGTGAGTGAACACTTACTTTCGTTTACTCATTTGTAACATATTTTTTTGCGAGACTTATTTTCATATATCTTAGTTGTTTTTAACCATTACAATATATGTTTGATAGCATTCTATCTGTGTAGATACTTGTTATATGAAAACTAAAAAGCTTAGTCTTCATAGATATGCCACATGCATGCATCCACATTTGCACCCAAATCAACATTCACACCTTCTTACTTGGTACTAAATGTACATAATTGCAAAAGAAGGAACAAATAAAGGAAGGAATGAGATACATACCTGGAACCCCCAAAAAAGAGAATAAATATATTTGTTAATCAAACTAGTTTCCGTGGTAAGAGGTACAACATTGACATAGATCCCATATTGGAAACCGCCGGGTGAGGAATTCAAACAAGCAATGGCGTCTGTGTTATTGTTCCATAAAGCTGATGCTTGGTCGGAATAGTTGTTTCTGATATAACCTCGTCTTCCACAATCAATGATTGTCGTGCATCTATCAATACGAGACTTTCCGCAGACATCTCGCAAGCATTGATTAACCCTCTATCAGGAAGATATACAAAAAGAGACAGTAAGATAACACCAAATTCCTGATTCTAATGGATCACTCATCTTTAAAGAATCCAAGACTATATGATAGTTGAATTTGACAATTAATATCAATAAATTAATTAGAAGGATTAAACTTTGTAGTATATACTGATATCATACTGACAAGACAGTAACACTCATTTTCTCTGTACTATGTACAATATCACTTGAAATCAGATTCATTTATGGTAATCCAGTAGTATTCTTTTTTTCTTTTTACAGTGAGGGTACAAATAATGAAATTCGGCGAGGAAGAAATTCATTCTTATTTTCCTGCTTTTGAAAAACATTTAGCAGAAAAAAAATATCATAAAACTTGTTTGGTGAATTTTGTATTGAGAGTTGAAGGAAGCTGTAGTAGTGGTTTGAAGTAAAAGTAGAGAAGTCAAGGAAACAAGTTAGAAGAGAAAAGCTAAATTATGTTTTCAAAACAAACAAATAAGCTTCAAATGTTTTTAAGTCACCTGTAGACCGAAGAGATACCAGCAAGAGCCAACAATATGGCTAGCAAGCATGAAAATGAGAAGATTTATGATGAAGTTTGCCCAAGCTGATTCAAATATAAATCCTGTTTCAGATTGTCCAATTAGCAGAGGCAGGATCCTGAATAATCTGGGAATATACTGCACAAGGATCGCTGCACGCAGAAGATTCTTTGCATAGTTTGCTCCTGATGCCCCCAAGCGGGTTGGTAGGACAAAAAACATCATTATCTGCACATATTTCATTAGCAAGGATTTTGATGAGCATATAAATAGTTGATTAATTTTTTCACATTATTAAAACACTTTCTTTCCCCTTTCACACTGTAGTTAAATCTAATTTTGACTATCTTTTATGATTGTATGATCAAGATTAACTTTCTGACTTGTTAGTTATAATGCTTCCTGTACATAGAAGGTTATATACAAATCTGATGATTTTCCAAGAAATGGAAAGAAAGTATAATGCTTGTATCATAAGTCACGTTAGAAACTTGAAATGTGTACAAATGGATACCATAAAAACATGAAGTCACGATGAGAAAACTTAGTTACAGAAAAAAGAAAAAGAAAATAACTTTTCAGAAAATGAAGAAAGCTAGACAGGAAGAAATTTACCTGAGGAAGAGGAAATACAACAAACAAGTCAAAAAGAAAATAACCCTTAAGGTAATGAAGTGCAATTTTCTTGGGATGATCAACTAAATCTCCAGCACCAACCACCCTTGACTCTGGGGAAACATAGGCCAGCCTAAACTGCCAAGGGGCAACTTGATAGTTAGTATTATTAAGCTTTAAATTGTGAAAAAGCACAAAACTATACCTAAAATCTCAACAACCGTATTCAATATCCACGAACAACTTTTCTGTATCTTTTATTTTCCTTCCAATCTCCTCAATAATTACATAAGTCTCTTATTAGTTGATTCTCCACTAGATGAGTATGTAAATCACCATAACTTTCCTACATGTATATATAATGCGTTTTCTTGCTTTCCTTTTTCAGTGTGATAATTTCATCATGTGTATATAGTTGTGATGGAAAGGCTAGGAGCTCTAGACACAAGTCTCTCATGTCTTGCATTATTATATTTATAGCTTAACCAAGTTCATTGGTTACTTCATGAGATCTCCACATTGCATTATAATTTAGAGACTTAGTTAGCTCGATCGATTGAGTAAACCCAAGTTAAGGTCGGCTAAGTCATTTTCGATCGAAATTAGATTGAGTTGGTTCCAACCAAAGTTCAACCGAGTCGGTTTAACCAAAGATTGATCAATTTGGCCCAACTAAAGATTGACCTAGTCCATATCTAATGAATTTAATAGTCAAGTATATTAGATCAATCTCACTTAATTTAATATCATTGACAAAGTGGATTCAATCTAATTTTAGTCCAATTTAAATTGGATTAAAAAAAAATCTAAATCTAGATAATCTAGTTAAAATGAATTCAGATTTTAATCCAGATCCATTCTAACTAGATCATCTAGATTTGGAATATAGATCCAATCCATTTTATTGGATCTAGACCTGGATATTAAAAAATCCAATCTATGCCCACCGCTTTGCTACAATGCACTTGGGAAAGCTGGAAAAGATGTTTTTCATTAAGATTAGCAAGCCACACATATCAATCCTTATTCATGGCATCACACAAATACACACTAATTCCTTGCACTCCACATCTATTAAATTGTCTTCAAAATCAAAGAGAAGTCAGTGCAAAATAATAGAGATCACAATAAATTACATAACATGGTGAATAACTATGATGCATAGATGCCATGTCCTACCACACCCATCAGTTGCCACAGAAACTTTTATTAAAAAAAATCTATGGACCATGTGTATTAGCACACTTTTTGGGAAGGTAAGTTAGTTATTGAGAAATCACCTGGAGAAGAATGTTCAAGAAATACACAGTATCATTCACTGTTCTAAGAAAAACAAGTATTTTTCTCGTATCCCAGTCGATAGCTATACATTTATCATCCTGCGTACAACGAATGGGAAAAATGTAAAGTAAATTTGCAAAGTACTGTAACATGAAAATCTCAGTACTACTGATCATATAACTTAATTGATTTTTTCAATTAAATAAAAGGAAAATAATCATACCTTCTGTACATAGATTAAAAACAAAAATAACGGATCCACAAAAATTGCTCCCATGCAAAAAATGGCCAAAAGCTTGTTCCATTGTTGTACAACTTTTGAGTGAGGATTCATAACTCCAGGAACACATGAAGAACAGAAAGAGAGAACTTTTCCACCAAAACCCTTGGCATCCCCATAAAGAGCACTGTGGAAGTGAAACTGTAAGCATTGAAAGCATGAATGAAAACAAGCTTAATTTTGTAGCAAAGTATACAAAAGGCAATAGAAAAGGTCACAGAAAGATCAAGAATTGTGATAGAGTAAAGTTTGTCATAGTGGCCTTCAGTAAGTGAGTGTTGAACAAACAAGGAGACAACTGAAAATTGTCAAGCCACAATGCATGCATTGACTCATTGGTGGATACAGATAATTGTTGGATCTATCGAGGAGGAGGTTCACAGGAGAGACACAAACACAAATGAGATATGAGTCCAACCATATAAAGAATTGACATCACTCTCTGTCCAAAACCTTAAGACAATGAGTTAATGAGTCTTTCACCTTTATATACTAATCTACTTTCTCATTTCTATCTAATATGGGACTTAGACTCATACTTGGATTCCCAATAATAATAACAAATTTGTTTTAAAAAAACTCCTTGTACCTTCCAAATTACATGAAAATTTTCTCTTATAATGCACAATGTATTTAAAAGGAACTTCAAAATATGAAAGTCCATGATTTATAAACAAAGGTAGTACTTTATTACCTGGGGATCAAACACAGTGGAATCATTTGGAAGTCTTTGCATAGAGGTCTTGAAGTAAGTTGGGCAAGTAGTACAATAAGGATCATTACATGTTCCGAGTAGCCTAGACCTCACCAAGTGTTCATTCTTTGTATCATAGTTGTTATTGCAATGATTTTCATCTTTCTCACTAAGATTACAAAATTTTTCTGTCTTGCTCTCCACTACTTTGTTTCCTTCCACAACTATAGTGTGCTTCAAAGGATTTTCAGTTCCATTGGGAACATATAGTGGCCCACTCATATGCATTAAGGATGGTATTCTTACACTAGGAAGTCGACCAGTATGACCCACAAGACTAATTTCTCTCTCATATGACTCCATGGAGATTACAGGAATAGAAACTGATGCACTTCGTGTCCTTGATACAACCTTCCCAGACCTAGAATGTTCGTTATGTTTTGCATGTGTTTCGGATGGACTAGGCTCCCCAGTTTTTTCAAAATTAGCCATGTTTGTTGATTCTGCAAGTTTTAAGAAAATGAACAAAATAATCATTGCAGATGTTTCTGCACCATATCAGTTTTTAAATCAAACACTTCATGTCAGCTGAACTTGAAAGGGGAGAAAGTAAACCATAAACAGCCAATATTACTAGCTAACGAGTGCAGTATGAAAAGTCAAAGATTATACCATACGGAACAATGCATGTTAAGGAAGATCATAGTTAACATGAGGCAGAGTTATACAATGATAAATTTTGTGCTTCACAACAAACAATTAAGAAATTGGTGAAGTAACATGTGTACGTAAAAAAGTTCTATATCCAGTACAAATATGCAAATTGAATATCATATGCGTGAGAAGGATTAATACACCTGAAAGTTTAAAATTTTTATCCTCTGGTATTCATAATTTCTAATAGAATTAAGACTTGAAAGATTCAATGACCAGAACTAATAATAAAATCATAGAAATGCTTGTACCATGCAACCTCTCTTATTTCTATGAGACTGAACAAGAACATCTATAGGCATGTTTAGACAAACTCCTCTTCAAAGACTTCAAGAAAAGAAAATGAAATGAGTTTCTCCATAAGTTAAAATTAATGCACAACTTAAGAATAATTTTTTAAAAAACTATATAAAAAAACCTCTACAAATCAGTTTATATATAAACTAGTTTTCAAATTATGAAAAACTCATTTCCTTTTTTTCTGTTATTTTTCTCTTCTACAAGTTTTTATAAAGAAGTTTGTGAATATATTTGTCTTATATATTCTTTATGTCGTTGCTCCTTCCACATGCAACTCTGCTTGTATTCGAATTAAGTTATCTAAAAGCAACACGATGAGGCACTATATATATGATGAAAAAGGTGTGAACAGTAAGCATTAACACAGCAATACTCAGCATTTTCAAACTAGATGGAGTTGTTTACATGTATGAATGAAATGATGCCATTGTGTTTTTGTCGAAAGCCAATACTTTGGGAAACTTCCTTGAATTCTAGAGTACTACTCCAATAATTTTACTTAAAATCTTTCTTAGTCTATCTATAACTCTAGTTATTGGAATATCCTCCATATATGCATGAATAAACAGCAATAAATAAGAAAAACAACAGAGAGTAATTTAAGACCTGACTGAAGAGAAATTCCCAGAGAAAAGTCGACCAACTATGTTTTTGTCATTGAAGTTAAAGCATGTGTTCTTGTGAGCTTGTGATTATGGGAAAAATGGAGAGGTTTGTATGTGTAAATATGAACAAAGTGTATGAGAGAGAGAGAGTTCATGACTTATAATGCAACAAAGTGAGATGTGAGTTGTAATGCAAGGACGGAGCAAGAAAACACCTTTGTTGGATGTCACTTTGTTATCAACGAAACTGCAACACAGCCAATGAGTTAGACAATAGCTAGCAAGTATTTGGATTTTTTAAGTTTCTTTAATGCTTATGGATTTTTCAAGTGTTTTTAATGCTTATGGATTTTTCTTTGATTTAAACTGGATCCTTCAAATAAAAGTTTCTAGATTTGAATATGTTTCTATTTCTGTAAATAATTGTTTTTTACTCCTTCAAAATAACTTTCGTTTTTTAATACATATTAGATATGATCTTTGTTATTTAAAAATATATCTTTTTAATCTTTTTTCTTGAAATAAAAATGACACATTTTTATGAATGAGAGGTCAAAATAAGACCATTTATTTTTTAGAAAATGATTTTTAATTCAATTCTTACACATATTATTTGTTTAAAATTAAAATCTATCCCCCATTATTTGTGTATGTATTGATATTGTGAAATTGATATTAAATTATAGTAAAATTTTAGCACCAAATTGGAAATTGACAGTATAGAAAAACTAAATATTTTGTTTTTATACATGTTATTTACATTTTCTTTTTAATTTGAACTATTCAGTGAGTTATACATCTTTTAGTATTAATTACGATGATCCCTTGTGCTATTCAATTTCCTACCCTTTTTAAACATTTCTTATTCATGGTTGTTTAGCCTATTTGTTTTTTTTGGAATTTATAAGAGTGCTCAATATATATTAGAATTAATTTAAAAAAACCATTGATATACTAATCCTATTTAGTGGGAAGTAATTTTGAAATAACAGTTTAAAAAAAGAAAATAACCCAAATAAAGAAATGGTATAAAAAACAATACTACCAGTCACAACATACAGAGACCATAAACCAAATAGAACAACCAAACAGAAAATGCTTTCCTTATTTTATTTTGAAACATTTTATTTCATAATAGACAGGGATGTTTATGGAAGAGACTTATGATAGTGGCTATTCAAAAAACTTGTTTGATAAGATTATCTGTTCAAACATCAATTCAACTCAAATAAGACCCACAGTATGTGAAACATGATAAGTTAACTCAACTTACTAGTATAACATTATAATTGTTAATAGTATAGTTTAAAAATATTCAACTAGAGTACAACAAATATATATAATCATGTTATTTTTTATGTAAATCCATTCATGCTATTATACAAACAGATTAAAGGCATCTTCAGTATCACAGGCTGAGTCAGGGAAACACGACCATGAACTTCCCTTATGACCCAATTAACATATTTTAAATACTCACATGGTTTAAATAACATCAAATTAAAAAATAAGGACAAAACAAAAAGCAACGACCAAAGACAAAGATTAAGAGACCCAACATTCTACAGACACAAATATTAAAAAGAAAAACATTGGATAGAGAAGATAAAATGGAATGTTGAAATGCAAATATTCAAATTGTTACCTTCACAGAGGCCTAAGAGAGTTCTTCCTCCACTTTTTTCTTTTCACTTCCAAAACTTCAAATCTGTGTTTAAGTATCATGAAAAAGCAAAAGGGGTGTGTGGAAACTTCACAATTCTTTCTGTGTCCACAGAAAGACGCGTTCCTCGTACCTTTTTGCAGTGTTCGAAATGCTTCTATCTTCTAAGTTCTGAAGTCAAAGGAAAACAAAAAAGGTAGAATGAAGAAAAAAAAGGTTAATCAGCACAGCTTGCTTTCTGTGTAGGGAATGCAGTGAGAAAAATTCCAAAGAAGTGAAAAGCTCTTTATGGCCTAATTAAATGCTATGAAAAATGAAAGCTAATTAGATACACTACTTTTTAATTACTCTCTGACTTTTGGTAAAATCTTGTCATTTTACTCTTCAATGCACGTGTAAGCTTTTGGTACATGAAATAAGAAGTTAATTAATATTTGAGATAGTTAAAAAAGCCATTTATATTTTTTGGATTTAATAACTATGTTATTTTCTTTGTTCTAAAACTTCTATAATTTTAGTATTTTATTTATAAATTATGAATCAGCTAATTTTCTCAATTTTCATTGATTTTTTTTTCTGTTCTTAATTCTTTTTCAAATTAATCATTTTCTCTTTTTCAATAAAAAATAATGTACTTACCAAGAGAGTTAAGTAATTTTGATATAATTATTTTAAAAGGAGACATATTTATTATTGTGATTAATTTGTGTGAAACAAATTATACTACAATAGGAAGTGATGTGTAATTTATTAATATGTTATTGTTTTAATTGATTATTAATTTACTTCTAATATAGTATATTGATGCTTGAAGTATTAATATGGTAATAAAAGAAAATATTTAATACATCTTATCAAAGCAGAAGTTTTAAAAGAAGTGCCATGTTAGCTTCTAATACAAATACAATATTAATTTATTGTGAATAACAACACCACAATCACAATTTTAAAAATAAATAATCAGTAAAACATTAAAGTGAATTTTTAAGGGCATAGGTAATTTAGGAAAAATATATTAATAATAATGGTTATGTAAAAAAAATAATGACTATATAATAGTCACTTTTAGTATTTAAGTAATTATTTTTTATTTTTTAATTTTAAAATATAATTAATCATAAAATATAAATATTAAATATGCATTTTCTTTATACATTATTATATATTCTTTAGTTTAAAATTATAATTAAGAATAAAATAAGAATACGAAATTTNCCCACCGCTTTGCTACAATGCACTTGGGAAAGCTGGAAAAGATGTTTTTCATTAAGATTAGCAAGCCACACATATCAATCCTTATTCATGGCATCACACAAATACACACTAATTCCTTGCACTCCACATCTATTAAATTGTCTTCAAAATCAAAGAGAAGTCAGTGCAAAATAATAGAGATCACAATAAATTACATAACATGGTGAATAACTATGATGCATAGATGCCATGTCCTACCACACCCATCAGTTGCCACAGAAACTTTTATTAAAAAAAATCTATGGACCATGTGTATTAGCACACTTTTTGGGAAGGTAAGTTAGTTATTGAGAAATCACCTGGAGAAGAATGTTCAAGAAATACACAGTATCATTCACTGTTCTAAGAAAAACAAGTATTTTTCTCGTATCCCAGTCGATAGCTATACATTTATCATCCTGCGTACAACGAATGGGAAAAATGTAAAGTAAATTTGCAAAGTACTGTAACATGAAAATCTCAGTACTACTGATCATATAACTTAATTGATTTTTTCAATTAAATAAAAGGAAAATAATCATACCTTCTGTACATAGATTAAAAACAAAAATAACGGATCCACAAAAATTGCTCCCATGCAAAAAATGGCCAAAAGCTTGTTCCATTGTTGTACAACTTTTGAGTGAGGATTCATAACTCCAGGAACACATGAAGAACAGAAAGAGAGAACTTTTCCACCAAAACCCTTGGCATCCCCATAAAGAGCACTGTGGAAGTGAAACTGTAAGCATTGAAAGCATGAATGAAAACAAGCTTAATTTTGTAGCAAAGTATACAAAAGGCAATAGAAAAGGTCACAGAAAGATCAAGAATTGTGATAGAGTAAAGTTTGTCATAGTGGCCTTCAGTAAGTGAGTGTTGAACAAACAAGGAGACAACTGAAAATTGTCAAGCCACAATGCATGCATTGACTCATTGGTGGATACAGATAATTGTTGGATCTATCGAGGAGGAGGTTCACCGGAGAGACACAAACACAAATGAGATATGAGTCCAACCATATAAAGAATTGACATCACTCTCTGTCCAAAACCTTAAGACAATGAGTTAATGGGTCTTTCACCTTTATATACTAATCTACTTTCTCATTTCTATCTAATATGGGACTTAGACTCATACTTGGATTCCCAATAATAATAACAAATTTGTTTTAAAAAAACTCCTTGTACCTTCCAAATTACATGAAAATTTTCTCTTATAATGCACAATGTATTTAAAAGGAACTTCAAAATATGAAAGTCCAT